TCAAGTTCATGTTCCGGATCTTTACCTTGTTGATCTCTACTCATTGTGCATGTGCTTTACATTAGTCTAGTCTCCCATTGTCAAGTTCATGTTCCAGATCTTTACCTTGTTGATCTCTACTCGTTGTGCATGTGCTTTCCATCAGTCTAGACTCCCATTGTCAAGTTCATCTTCCGGATCCTTACCTTGTTAATCTCTACTCATTGTGCATGTGCTTTCCATTAGTCTAGTCTCCCATTGTTAAGTTCATGTTTCGGATCTTTACCTTGTTGATCTCTACTCATTGTGCATGTGCTTTCCATTAGTCAAGTCTCCCATTGTCAAGTTCATGTTCCGGATCTTTACCTTGTTGATCTCTACTCGTTGTGCATGTGCTTTCCACTAGTCTAGTCTTCCCTTGTCGAGTTCATGTTCCGGATCTTTACCTTGTTAATCCCTACTTTTGCTATATATGATTTCTATGTATTTTTATATGATCTCTATGTATCTTTTTGTCAATGAGTTTGGGAACAGCCATTACTGTTCGATACCTAGATATGTAGATATGGTAAATTTTCCACTAGTATAGTCTCCCATTGTCAAGTTCATGTTTCGGATCTTTTAGGTGGTTGAGCTCTTCTCCTTTGTGCATGTGCTTCCATTAGTCTAATCCTTCCTTGTCAAGTTCATGTTCCGGATCTTTGCTTAGTTAGTCTCTTCTCCTTGTGCCTGTACTTTCCACTAGTCTAGTCTCTCATTGTCAAGTTTATGTTTGATGTGGTGTTCCGGAACCTCACCTTGTTGATCACTTTTCCTTGTGCATGTGCCTTCCACTAGTCTAGTCTCTCCTTGTCAAGTTCATGTTCCGGATCTTTGCTTAATTGATCCCTTCTCATTTGTGCATGTGTTTTCCACTAGTCTAAGTCTCTCATTGTCAAGTTCATGTTCCAGATCTTTGCTTAGTTGATTTCTTCTCTTTGTGCATGTGCTTCCACTAAGTCTAGTATCTCATTGTCAAGTTCATGTTCCGGATCTTTTGGTTAGTTGATCTCTTCTCTTTGTGCATGTGCTTTCGACTAAGTCTAGTATCTCATTGTCAAGTTCATGTTCCGGATCTTTTGCTTAGTTGATCTCTTCTCTTTGTGCATGTGTTTTCCACTAGTCTAGTGTTTTATTGTCAAGTTCATGCTTTGATGTGAAATTTCGGATCTTTACCTCGTTGATCTCTACTCTTTGTGCATGTGCGTTCCACTAGTCTAGTCTCTCATTGTCAAGTTCATATACCGGATCTTTACTTCGTTGATCTCTACTCTTTGTGCATATGCTTCCACTAGTCTAGTGCTCATTGTCAAGTTCGTGTTCCGGATCTTTGCTTAGTTGATCCCTACTCTTTGTGCATGTGCTTCCACTAAGTCTAGTCTCTCATTGTCAAGTTCATGTTCTGGATCTTTGCTTAGTTGATCCCTTCTCTTTGTGCATGTACTTTCCACTAGTCTAGTTTCTCATTGTCAAATTCATGTTATGTTCCGGATCTTTACTAGTTAACCTCTTCTTCTTGTGCATGTGATTTCCACTTGTCTAGCCTCTCGTTGTCAAGTTCGAGTGTGATGTGATGTTCCAGGCTGTACTTAGTTAGTCCCTTCTCTTTGTGCATATGCCTTCCACTAGTGTAGCCTCTCATTGTCAAGTTCATGTTTGATATAATGATCCGGATCTTGTTTAGATAATCTTTTTTTCTATGAGCATGTGTTTTCCATTGATCTAGCTTCTCATTTTCATGTTCGTGCATAATATTCCAAGATATACTTATTCAATCTCTCGCTATGGGGCGGGTGATCGATGTTGGGTTGCTGCTACGGGGAGTTGATTTGATTAGGAGTTCCTCTTGTTTCCCTCTTTCTCTCTCCCTCTCTCTCTTCCTCTTTCACTCTCTCTCCTTCTCTCTCTCCCCCTTTTTCCTCCTTCCTCCTCTAGACCTCTCTTTCTCCCCCCCCCCTTATCACCTTGCCCTCTCTCTCCCTCTCTCCCGTCCTTCACTTGGCATATGACTAACCCCTTCTCCCCTCACTTGGAAACATTGCCAGGGTACGGACGGTAAAAGGAATCAGACTTCACTTGGTGGAGAAAGAGGGCAAGGGGAGGATAGTCGGTCCCTTGTGCCACCAAGGAGGCAAAAAAGAAAGGACGTTTGAAAAAGTGGGAGAAAGGCGGAATCCGGAAGAGAACATAAGTTGAAAGTGAGGTCAATTTGACTCAACCATTTCCCCGACTGCATGACTATGAGAAGAGAATGGACTGATTGAGCATCAAGAGGGAACAAAGAGCAGCCAAAGGATTTGAAAAGATAGGCATGTGGCAAGGGTTATGTGTTGACCCCGAACGGGGGATTGTAAGGATCTTCTTGCTTGTGTGGGATTGTGCAGGTGAGTAATGGTTAGAAATGCCTTGAGCGGGATAGGGGCGAGAGGAACTGGGCACCAAGAGTGAAAGGGAAGAAGGACAAAGGGGCTATGGACCCTTGACATAGAGCCAACCCATGGAAATGACTTTTGCGCATGAAGACTTGAAGTGTAAATGAGAGTGCAATCGTACCAAGGAAATTGTGATGATGTGTGTGCATGCATATGAGGACCCCGAAAAGACTAAGGGGCCTACTTCAGTAAGGAGGAAAGCAAATTATGAGACCCGATGGATGCGCAGAGGCGAGGGAGAGGACGGCTCCGCCGCACCCAGATGACGCCATATAGCCACAATGCTTAGGGAAATGGTGCGTGGCCTAAGGATGACGCGTAGCCTACGCACAAGAGAAGAGAAATACTCAAAGAACCCTTGGACTGCGTGCGTATTGGAAGGAGCAATTGTATGAGAACACGACAAAGATTCAAAAAAAAATCAGCGTTGCGACCAGCGAGACTACCACCCGGCGTGAGGGCTGAGCTACATCCCCAATGTCAAGCTCTCTCGCGCAATGGGCCACCCCCATCCATCTCAAAGCACTAGGTGGGGGTGACCTTGGGACGAATGGCCCGCGCTCTGAGCATGAGTGTGGGCGGGCCGAGCCAACTGGGACCCACAGTGGGGTCGACTAAGGCTCGAAAGTCTACTGGGGTTTGGCCCTACAACGTTAGATGAAGGTGGTTTGTAGGAGGTCCCATACAGTGAGATCGAGTGGGGTCTAGATGATGAGGACAGTGGCACATGCCAGGGGAGTTCTTATGCTGCTTTCGCGGTTGGAGGGAGGTCGCAGGGAAGAGGCAGAGGCCAGGGCCAAAGGAGCTAGGCCTCTGGTGGTCGAGGACAGGGCGGCCAAGGGTTGGCGGCAGGGGAAACCGCCAAGAGGGAGGAAGGGGTGAATGTCTCTCGTTGGACTGTCCGCGTCCCAACCAGTCACCTCCCAAGAGAGGGGTGAATGGCACACTGGTCTGCCTGAGGCCTGACCCTGGGAATCATTGGGCATTGAGAAGAAGTATTAGCAGGCCAGGATAGAGGCAGAGGTGCATTTACTGCGTTGACCCTGGACATATTATAAAGTTTCGTCCCAAACATAGGAGTGTCCGGCGAGCTGCTGCAGAAGCATTAAAAGGCAACCGCCGGTAGGAGTAGCAACTGTGTTTGCCCTTAGGCCATGTGGTGATCCCAACCCAAATGTGTTTATTGCAGAGGTTGTTGGCTAGTGTCTAGCTAGCTGTGCAGGGACTGCTTGCGTTAGAGTCTCTCTAGGCGCTTCCCTCGCAGGACTGGCAGAAGAGTTGAAAGAGAGAATGGCAGCCTGGGCCAAAATGAAGAAAGATGGAAAAGGGCAGCTACTGTTAGTAGATGGAGAAGTTTTTTGAGGCAGTGTAGGGGCACTTATAGATAGTGGGGCCACCCGTAGCTACATTAGCCGTAAAGCGTTGAAGAAGCTGAAGCTGAATCTGAAAGTCCAGAAGCTAGATGAACCCATAGTCAGTATCCTCGTAGACAATTGCATGATACGAATCGAGGATTACGTTTAGGGAGTCCAGCCGTACTTTTGCCCAGAGAAAGATGGGAAGGTAGAGAGAGTTCTCCATTCCCCGACTCTTCTCGTAGAGGACAACCTTCCGTTTGACATGGTCCTAGGAATGGACTTGGGAGAGGCAGCAGGAGCCACACTGCACCTAGGGGAACATAAGTGTAGGCTCCTAGTTCTTCAGGTGGTTTCAAGACTGCCCGTCTGTTCCATGTGTCAGGAGTAGACAACCCTCTGGCACATTGTTGCCTTAGTGCTCCCGCGTTCGCGCGACTAGGGAGAAAGGAGCAATTGGAAGAACAGGTCTTTGTGGCCTATGTTAGGCCGGTCACTGAGCCTAAGAAAGAGGAATCGACTAACCCCCTTATTGCCAAGCTCCTGGAAGAGTATGCAGATGTATGAGAGGCTCCTTCAGGAGTTGTTACGCCCCCTATCCAACACTGCATTGAGATAGAGCCTAGCAATAAGACTCCCAGCAGTGTATAGGATGTCCCCCAAGGAGTTGGAGGAGCTGCGCAAGCAGCTAGACGAGCTCCTCGAGAAGGGGTGGGTTAGACCCATACGTCTCCATTTGGAGTGCTAGTTCTTTTTGTCCCCAAGAAGGAGAGTGAGTTTAGAATGTGTTTTGGCTAGGGGTCTCAACGCGGTTACATTGAAGAATGCAGAACCACTACCCTGTATAGATGATCTGTTGGATCGGGTGTTGGGCTGCAAGTACTTCTCCAAGATAGATTTGAAGTCAACGCACCGGCCACATTCCAACGCTGTATGAATGATTTGTTCAGGCCGTGGTTAGATAGATTTGTAGTTGTCTACCTAGATGATATTCTAGTTTTTAGCAAGGCCCTCCACGAGCACGAGGCTCATCTGAGGTAGATCTTGGAAAAGTTGCATGAGGCAAACTTCGAGATCAATGCAAAGAGGTGCGCGTGGGCCAAGACAAACGTTTTATACTTGGGCCACATCCTAGATGGAGACGACATAAAACTTGAGGATAGCAAGATTGCAACGATTAGAGACTGACCAACTCCTCATACACTCATAGAGTTGAGGTCGTTCTTAGGATTGGCTAATTATTATAGGAAGTTTGTGTGGAACTTCTCTGCCATTGCTGCTCCCCTTTGCAGACTGCTAAAGAAGGAGGCAATCTTGAAGTGGGACCAAGACTGTACATTGGCCCTGAAGAAGTTGAAACGGGCCTTGAGAGAGTACCCAATCCTCAAGGTAGCTGATCCATCCTTACCTTTCGTCGTTACCACTGATGTGAGTCAGTATGGCATTGGTGTTGTCTTACAGCAAGATGATGGCAATGGGTATAGACCCGTAGAGTTCATGTCTGCTAGGTTGTCTTCAGAGAAGGTAGCGACCTATACTTATGAGAGGGAACTCTACGCTCTCAGGTAAGCATTAGACCACTGGAGACACTACCTCCTTGGGAGACACTTCAAAGTCTACTCAGACCACGAGACATTGAGGTGGTTGAAGACGCAGGCCAAGATGACACCTAAGCTTATTAGGTGGGCCGCAGAGATAGATCAATTTGACTTTGAGCTCAAGCCAGTAAAAGGAAAGTATAATGTGGTTGCATACGCCCTAAGTAGAAGAGTCGACTACTTTGGAGCTATAGTTCGCTATCTGGATATAGGGACAAGCTTACAACAAAAAGTCATAGATGCGTATTCGCAAGACCCTATCCATAGCGACCTCCTAAAGAGAGTAAAGGAGGACCCAGCCAGTGAACCTGATTACCGCACCATGAATGGGTTATTGTTTGAGAAGACAAACGTCGTAGATCGGTTATGCATTCCCAACAGCGAAGAGATCCGCAGTCTGATCTTAGGGGAATGACACGACACAGAAGGGCATTTTGGTTGGCAAAAGACCTTAGCCAATCTGATGCGCGCGTATACCTGGCCAGGGATGAAGAATGACTGCGTAGAGTATGTTTGCAGTTGTAAAGTCTGCCAGCGCAACAAAACAACGACGCGAGCCCCATTTGGTCTTCTCCGACCCTTGCCTATCCCATCGAGATCCGAAGAGTTTGTGTCCATTGACTTCATGGATATTGGGGTTAGGAATAGGCATGGCAAGATCCAAGTCATGGTCATAGTAGACGGTTTCAGCAAGTATGTTGTTGTTGTTATTTTGCCCTCTGAGGCACGCACAAAGTTAGTTATAGAGAAGTTTTTGGATGCCTGGGTAAGCGAGCACGATATTCTGTTGTCTATAGTTACTGATAGAGACACGCGGTTTACTAGTCAGCATTGGCAGGAGCTTATGAGAGTATATGGCTCAAAGTTGTTGATGTCATCTGGCCGTCATCCAAAGACTAATGGTCAGACTGAGCAAATGAATAAGATTCTGCAGCAGATACTCATGATGTATATTAGACCCAATCAGATTAACTGGGATGGGATGCTCCCTAAGGTAACTAGCGCCTATAACAATAGTGTTCACTTAGCTACCTGCAAGACTCCTAATGAGCTGCACAAGTCCTTTAGACCACGCAGGCCTATTGAAATATTAAATCCTAATCAGATACGGAGGCTGCGACCCGGAACTAAGAGTTTGCCTTGCAGCATGAGAGAGAAGTTGCAAGAGTGACTGAGAATCTAAGAAAAGCGCAACACAAGATGATAGAGCAAGCAAACAAGCATCGTGGCCCATCGCAGTTCTAGGTAGGAAATTTAGTCTGGGTCAAGTCTAAGGAGTTCGCCCCAGAAGAGAACATCTCACAAAAGTTGTTACCCGCTGTCGGGATCAGTTCTAGGTAGGAAATTTAGTCTGGGTCAAGTCTAAGGAGTTCGCCCCAGAAGAGAACATCTGACAAAAGTTGTTACCCGCTGTCGGGATCTGTGGGTCCTGAAAAAAGTCCCGTCCCTTGAGAGATGGCATACGGCGGAAATGTGCACAACATAGAAACCAGGAGGCAAGAGAAATAGGAAGGATAGAGGGCTAAGGCATAATTGCCTAACGCCTAGGTCCCTAGAGGGCGCCCTTGGTCGTCGGAACCACTGGGCCAAAAATACATTAGTAGAATGACAAGCGGCAAAGAGTTGCGAGAGAATAGTAAAGGCGGCCCTCCTTCTAAATGGAAGGAGGGCCGCCTGAAAAAATAATGCCCTTGGTTGCGAGCCGCAGGAGAAAAGGAGTCGACAACATCAAGAAAATAGTGTTAGGACACCAGCACATGAGAACGTAGCATGAGATTAGAGGAGGTAACCGGAATTCGGCATGAGAAGGGCCAAAGGGCTATACGCCAAGCAAACGAACGCGGCGGACCACAAGGGAAAACCGAAACCATAAGAAAAAGAGTCGTGACGGTCACAAGACACTAGAAAAGAAGGGCCCTAGCATGGGGGCCGTTTGCTGCAACTGACGGTATCGGGACAAGTGGGTCCTGAGATAAGTCCTGACCCTTGAGAAGCAGTATACAGCAGAATTGTGCATGGCAGAGAAAACCGGAGGCAAGAGGGGCGGAAAGGCTAGAAGTACAAGTGTCGGCACCTAGGGACCCAGCGGTCGCCCTGGGTCGCCGAAACCACTAGACCAAGGAAAGGCTGGCGGAACGGCAAGCGGCCAAGGACTGCAAGAAAATAGCAGAGGCGGCCCTTCCCCCCGAAAGGAGAAGGACCGCCGGGAAAAGTAATTTTATTAGAGGTGTACCGCAGGGAGAGAAAAATTGAGGGGGATGAGAAAATAATAAGTGAGGCACCGGTGCATGATAGCATAGACCGGGCCAAGAAGGCCACCGGGGTGCGGCATCGAGAGAGGGCCAAAGGGCCATGGATCAAGTAAAAAGCCACGACCGCAAAAGATCGGCACGCGGGACGTGAGAAAGGCGAAGAGAATGAGGCCACCGTTGGGTGGAAAAATGACAAAAGAACCCGGGACGCCTTGAGGGAAGGTACTGGGGACCACATGGAACTAACAAAAAAAAAAGGTATTCGGGACAAGTACCGGCCGGACAAAGTATCGGGGACCATCGGCGGGACAAAGTGTCGGGGACCACCGGCGGGACAAGTATCAACGGGACCACCGGCGGGACAAGTACCGGAGGGACCACCGGCAGGACAAGTACCGGCGGGACAAGAACTGGCGGGACCACTAGCGAGATAAGTGTCAGGGACTAACGTGGGACAAATGGCGGGGACATGGGAAGGTCTCGACAAAGAATTGTTAAGCGACCTGAGGGAAAATAATTAAAGCAAGGTGTACCGTCAAAATCAAGATCTTGACGACCGAGAATATTAGCACCACTAGTGCAAGCACTAGTGGAAAGTAAGCGGGGAGACAAAAAAAAAAAGAAAAAGTAAAGAAACATGTAGAGGGAGGCATGGGAGCAATCCGAAAAATCTCGGATTGGCCTCCCCCAAGAAAATGGAGTCAAAAAAGACTCCATGCGAAAAATGGGTCTCCGGGAGAAAATCAAAGTATGAGGGTCCACCGCTTGAAAGAAATAGAGGCAAACGGAGACTCTCATGGGCATGTGAGGGCCATAGCTGCAGTCCGAGAAATAACGGACTGCCCCTTGAGCATAGGAAGGGCCGAAACTAAGAGGGAGAGCCTAGAAAAGGGCCATAACGGCTAGTTGCGACTTGGCATGTTAAATAAAGAAAGAAAAATAAAAGAAAAAGGAGGGAGAGTAAGACAAAAGGAGTGAGAGGGAGGGAGTGAGTTGGCCGTCACTGGCATAAGTAGGGACTGGAAGGTCCCTACTATTCAGAAGTGGAGGGAAAATAAAATAAAATAAAATAAAATAAAATATAAGAGAAAAGAAAAAGACAAGGGTCTTAACGACTAGATGATACTTGACATGCTAAAAAAAGAAAGAAAAATAAAAGAAAAGAAAATAGAACAGAAACGAATAGAGGAAAGGGCCTTAAAGCTAGTTGACACTTGGCATGCTAGAAAAAGAAAGAAAAATAAAAGAAAAGGACAACAGGAGAGAAAAGAAAAGAGAAAAGGGTTTTGACGGCTAGTTGACACTTGGCATGCTAGAAAAAGAAAAAAAGAAAAAAAGAAAAGGGAGGGAGAGTAAGACAAAAGAGGGGAGAGGGAGTGAGTGAGCTGGCCGTCAGTAGGGACTGGCAGGTCCCTACTGTCCACCAATGGAGGGAAAAGAAAAGAAAAGACAAAGGGGCACTAACGACCAAAAACGGTCACTTTGGGAGATGCATCCGTGACCAGATCCATTCTGGCATATGTCGGTTACAAAGTACCTTGATTTTCTCTTGATTTTGCAGAGAAAAAAAAAAAAAAAAAGGCCCCTTGCAATCGAGATACAACGGATTACAAAGGGAGGGAAAACACGTGTTCTAAGTGCGTCCTTAGCTAGCATTGAGCCCGGATGCACTTGCGAGTGGGCCGTTTTTTTTTCTTTCAGATTGGGGTTAGTTGTGGGGGAATGGGACTAGGAAATTGACCCCTATTGCAGTCCGAGTTACAACGGACTGCATAAGGGAGGAAAAACACATGTTTTTGGTGCGTCCGGAGCCGATATTGAGCCCGGATGCACTTAAATTCAGCGTTTTATTTTCTTTCAGTTAGAGGCAACTTGTGGGGCTGTGGGACTAGGAAAATGAGCATCATTGCAGTCCGAGAAATAACGGACTGCATGGGGATGCCTAGGCCAAAGAAAATGAGTCGCGGCATGCCCGAGAGGCTAAGAAAACGGTGCCGTGAGCATAGGGGAGTGTGACGGTAAATAGTGACCGCGAGATGAGGATCTTGCGGCCGGAAATAATCGGCACGCTTGAGACACATGGGAAGAATAAATTGGGATTGATGGGTACAGCAAGGTGCCAAATAAAAATGGAATATCAACCGGGACGATGCCGGGGACTAAATAGACCCAAATAAGAATTACCGAAATATGAGACTTTGTCGACGGCACTGCCGACGGAACAAATAAACGGGACTAGCATGGGAAAACGGCGGGGACTGGAGCTGTCCCAAGGTAACCATGAGCCAGTATGGGGAATGGCCGCACAAAGCAAACAGCACCTTCGAGACCGAGACCTAGACGGTGAAAAATATTAGCACTACTAGTGCATGCACTAGTGGGATCAAGTGGGAGGGCCATGAGGGCAATGAAAAGTAAAAAATTAGTAATGCGAGGGCTGGCCAGGAGTCCGAGATATCTCAGACTAGCTAGGCATGAGGAAATAGAGCCCCAAGATGTCCAACATGGGAAAAAGGTTGTCCAAGAAAAATCGGAGCAAAGGGGGCTCAAAATTGGGATTACCGGAGGCAAAATGGAGCCCCCTAGGAGAATGCGGGTGCCATTATTGTAATCAGAGATATAACGGCCAAGTGCCAGCCATGAATGAGGTCCCAAGGCCTAGAAAGAGGGTGCACAGTTGTTTGACACTTGTCACAACTAAAATAAAAAATAAAA